AGAGTAGTGTGTAGTAAAGAGAGAGAGTAGTGTGTCGTAAAGAGAGAGAGTAGTGTGTCGTAAAGAGAGAGTAGTGTGTAGTAAAGAGAGAGAGTAGTGTGTCGTAAAGAGAGAGAGTAGTGTGTAGTAAAGAGAGAGAGTAGAGTGTAGTAAAGAGAGAGCGCAGTAAAGAGAGAGAGTAGTGTGTAGTAAAGAGAGAGAGTAGTGTGTCGTAAAGAGAGAGAGTAGTGTGTAGTAAAGAGAGAGAGTAGTGTGTAGTAAAGAGAGAGAGTAGAGTGTAGTAAAGAGAGAGAGTAGTGTGTCGTAAAGAGAGAGAGTAGTGTGTCGTAAAGAGAGAGAGTAGTGTGTCGTAAAGAGAGAGAGTAGAGTGTAGTAAAGAGAGAGCGCAGTAAAGAGAGAGAGTAGTGTGTAGTAAAGAGAGAGAGTAGTGTGTAGTAAAGAGAGAGAGTAGTGTGTAGTAAAGAGAGAGAGTAGTGTGTAGTAAAGAGAGAGAGTAGAGTGTAGTAAAGAGAGAGAGTAGAGTGTAGTAAAGAGAGAGCGCAGTAAAGAGAGAGAGTAGTGTGTAGTAAAGAGAGAGAGTAGTGTGTAGTAAAGAGAGAGAGTAGTGTGTCGTAAAGAGAGAGAGTAGTGTGTCGTAAAGAGAGAGAGTAGTGTGTCATAAAGAGAGAGAGTAGTGTGTAGTAAAGAGAGAGAGTAGTGTGTAGTAAAGAGAGAGAGTAGTGTGTCGTAAAGAGAGAGAGTAGTGTGTCGTAAAGAGAGAGCGAGTAAAGAGAGAGAGTATGTAGTAGTAAAGGGTAGAGAGAGAGTAGTGTGTCGTAAAGAGAGAGCGCAGTAAAGAGAGAGAGTAGTGTGTAGTAAAGAGAGAGAGTAGTGTTAGTAAAGAGAGAGAGTAGAGTGTAGTAGAGAGGCGCAGTAAAGAGAGAGTAGTGTGTAGTAAGAGAGAGAGTAGTGTGTCTAAGAGAGAGAGTAGTGTGTAGTAAAGAGAGAGAGTAGGTGTGTAAAGAGAGAGAGTAGTGTGTCTAGAGAGTGTTGTGTAAAGGGAGTAAAGAGAGAGAGTAGTGTGTAGTAAAGAGAGAGAGTAGTGTGTCGTAAAGAGAGTGTGTCGTAAAGAGAGAGAGTAGTGTGTCAAAAGAGGAGAGAGAGTAGTGTGTAGTAAAGAGAGAGAGTAGTGTCGTAAAGAGAGAGAGTAGTGTGTAGTAAAGAGAGAGAGTGTGTAGTAAAGAGAGAGAGTAGTGTGTCGTAAAGAGAGAGAGTAGTGTGTCGTAAAGAGAGAGAGTAGTGTGTAGTAAAGAGAGAGAGTAGTGTGTCGTAAAGAGAGAGAGTAGTGTGTCGTAAAGAGAGAGAGTAGTGTGTAGTAAAGAGAGAGAGTAGTGTGTAGTAAAGAGAGAGAGTAGAGTGTAGTAAAGAGAGAGAGTAGTGTGTCGTAAAGAGAGAGAGTAGTGTGTCGTAAAGAGAGAGAGTAGTGTGTCGTAAAGAGAGAGAGTAGTGTGTAGTAAAGAGAGAGAGTAGTGTGTAGTAAAGAGAGAGAGTAGTGTGTAGTAAAGAGAGAGAGTAGTGTGTAGTAAAGAGAGAGAGTAGTGTGTAGTAAAGAGAGAGAGTAGTGTGTCGTAAAGAGAGAGAGTAGTGTGTAGTAAAGAGAGAGTAGTGTGTCGTAAAGAGAGAGAGTAGTGTGTAGTAAAGAGAGAGAGTAGTGTGTCGTAAAGAGAGAGCGCTGTAAAGAGAGAGAGTAGTGTGTCGTAAAGAGAGAGAGTAGTGTAGTAAAGAGAGAGAGTAGTGTGTAGTAAAGAGAGAGAGTAGTGTGTAGTAAAGAGAGAGAGTAGTGTGTAGTAAAGAGAGAGAGTAGTGTGTAGTAAAGAGAGTAGTGTGTAGTAAAGAGAGAGAGTAGTGTGTAGTAAAGAGAGAGTAGTGTGTAGTAAAGAGAGAGTAGTGTGTAGTAAAGAGAGAGAGTAGTGTGTCGTAAAGAGAGAGAGTAGTGTGTAGTAAAGAGAGAGAGTAGTGTGTCGTAAAGAGAGAGAGTAGTGTGTAGTTAAAGAGAGAGAGTAGTGTGTCGTAAAGAGAGAGAGTAGAGTGTAGTAAAGAGAGAGAGTAGTGTGTCGTAAAGAGAGAGAGTAGAGTGTAGTAAAGAGAGAGAGTAGTGTGTCGTAAAGAGAGAAAGTAGTGTGTAGTAAAGAGAGAGAGTAGTGTGTAGTAAAGAGAGAGAGTAGTGTGTCGTAAAGAGAGAGAGTAGAGTGTAGTAAAGAGAGAGAGTAGTGTGTAGTAAAGAGAGAGAGTAGTGTGTAGTAAAGAGAGAGAGTAGTGTGTAGTAAAGAGAGAGAGTAGTGTGTAGTAAAGAGAGAGCGCAGTAAAGAGAGAGAGTAGTGTGTAGTAAAGAGAGAGAGTAGAGTGTAGTAAAGAGAGAGAGTAGAGTGTAGTAAAGAGAGAGAGTAGAGTGTAGTAAAGAGAGAGCGCAGTAAAGAGAGAGAGTAGTGTGTAGTAAAGAGAGAGAGTAGTGTGTCGTAAAGAGAGAGAGTAGTGTGTCGTAAAGAGAGAGAGTAGTGTGTAGTAAAGAGAGAGAGTAGTGTGTCGTAAAAGAGAGAGAGTAGTGTGTCGTAAAGAGAGAGAGTAGTGTGTAGTAAAGAGAGAGAGTAGTGTGTCGTAAAGAGAGAGAGTAGTGTGTCGTAAAGAGAGAGAGTAGTGTGTAGTAAAGAGAGAGAGTAGTGTGTAGTAAAGAGAGAGTAGTGTGTAGTAAAGAGAGAGTAGTGTGTAGTAAGAGAGAGAGTAGTAGTGTGTAGTAAAGAGAGAGAGTAGTGTGTAGTAAAGAGAGAGAGTAGTGTGTAGTAAAGAGAGAGCGCAGTAAAGAGAGAGAGTAGTGTGTAGTAAAGAGAGAGAGTAGAGTGTAGTAAAGAGAGAGAGTAGAGTGTAGTAAAGAGAGAGAGTAGAGTGTAGTAAAGAGAGAGCGCAGTAAAGAGAGAGAGTAGTGTGTAGTAAAGAGAGAGAGTAGTGTGTCGTAAAGAGAGAGAGTAGTGTGTCGTAAAGAGAGAGAGTAGTGTGTAGTAAAGAGAGAGAGTAGTGTGTCGTAAAGAGAGAGAGTAGTGTGTCGTAAAGAGAGAGAGTAGTGTGTAGTAAAGAGAGAGAGTAGTGTGTCGTAAAGAGAGAGAGTAGTGTGTCGTAAAGAGAGAGAGTAGTGTGTAGTAAAGAGAGAGAGTAGTGTGTAGTAAAGAGAGAGTAGTGTGTAGTAAAGAGAGAGTAGTGTGTAGTAAAGAGAGAGAGTAGTGTGTAGTAAAGAGAGAGAGTAGTGTGTAGTAAAGAGAGAGAGTAGTGTGTCGTAAAGAGAGAGAGTAGTGTGTCGTAAAGAGAGAGAGTAGTGTGTAGTAAAGAGAGAGAGTAGTGTGTAGTAAAGAGAGAGTAGTGTGTAGTAAAGAGAGAGAGTAGTGTGTAGTAAAGAGAGAGAGTAGTGTGTAGTAAAGAGAGAGAGTAGTGTGTAGTAAAGAGAGAGAGTAGTGTGTAGTAAAGAGAGAGAGTAGTGTGTAGTAAAGAGAGAGAGTAGTGTGTAGTAAAGAGAGAGAGTAGTGTGTAGTAAAGAGAGAGAGTAGTGTGTAGTAAAGAGAGAGAGTAGTGTGTAGTAAAGAGAGAGAGTAGTGTGTAGTAAAGAGAGAGAGTAGTGTGTAGTAAAGAGAGAGAGTAGAGTGTAGTAAAGAGAGAGCGCAGTAAAGAGAGAGAGTAGTGTGTAGTAAAGAGAGAGTAGTGTGTAGTAAAGAGAGAGAGTAGTGTGTAGTAAAGAGAGAGAGTAGTGTGTAGTAAAGAGAGAGAGTAGTGTGTAGTAAAAGAGAGAGAGTAGTGTGTCGTAAAGAGAGAGAGTAGTGTGTAGTAGAGAGGTAAAAGAGAGAGTAGTGTGTAGTAAAGAGAGAGTAGTGTGTAGTAAAGAGAGAGAGTAGTGTGTAGTAAAGAGAGAGAGTAGTGTGTAGTAAAGAGAGAGAGTAGTGTGTAGTATAGTGTGTAGTAAAGAGAGAGAGCGCAGTAAAGAGAGAGAGTAGTGTGTAGTAAAGAGAGAGCGCAGTAAAGAGAGAGAGCGCAGTAAAGAGAGAGCAGCTGTCCTCCCTCTCCGTACATGGGCACTTCTCTGATTCAAGGACACAGTATTAAATATAGAGCTTTCATCACAACTATTGTTATGTGACCTCTGCTGACACATGGTGTCTGTGGGACCAGGGGAGAGACCAGGGGAGTGACCAGGGGAGAGACCAGAGAGACCAGGGGAGAGACCAGGGGAGTGACCAGGGGAGAGACCAGAGAGACCAGGGGAGAGACCAGGGGAGAGACCAGAGAGACCAGGGGAGAGACCAGGGGAGAGACCAGGGGAGAGACCAGGGGAGTGACCAGGGGGGAGACCAGGGGACCTGTTTGACTTTCACTGAATGTTATGATCATTTAAACCTACAGTGTTTAATATGTGTGTGTGTCTGATGTGTGTGTGTCTAATGTGTGTCTGATGTGTGTGTGTCTAATGTGTGTCTGATGTGTGTTTGTCTAATGTGTGTCTGATGTGTGTTTATGAATGAGTGAACTCTCTGTGGGACTCATGTGTCTAGAGCAGTGTGGGCGGGTTCCGGCTCAAAAGTGTCCAAAATGACGTGCGCTGACATGCTGCAGTACCACCCCGGGCCTGTGGGGGTGGACCCAGAAGTAGAATTAGCCAATGCTAACATATAGCATTAGCTGACCTCTGGAAAACGTCTTTACAGGATGGACCAATGCTGAGTGTTCTGGACCAGTCTAGTTTAGTCGCTGTGGACTTTAGAAGTCTCTCGTTCAAATGAATGGAGCTGCGCCGGCTGACACATGCGCAAATGTGTTTTTCCACAATTTTCTTGTGGGCGGGACCACTCGCGGCCATTTTGGATTGCTCCAGTAGAGCATTATTTTAGGCCCATTAATTAAAACGGCGCAGATAGGCCTGACTCTGTCTGTTAATATATACAGTCTATGGTTTCATGTGACATCACAGCTTCACAGTTACAGTTATGCTGAGTGACACCCCCTCACCTTGCTCTGCCACCCCCCGTCCCCTGAGTCCCAACCCCCCCCCCACCCCGTGCCCCCTCACCCCTTCATCCCTCCACCCCCTGCTCCCCCCCATACCCTCAGTCCCAGCCCGCTGCCCCCCCCTCACCCCCCTCAGTCCCAGCCCGCTGCCCCCCCCTCACCCCCCTCACCCCCTCAGTCCCAGCCCGCTGCCCCCCCCTCACCCCCCTCACCCCCTCAGTCCCAGCCCGCTGCCCCCCCCTCACCCCCTCAGTCCCAGCCCGCTGCCCCCCCCTCACCCCCCTCACCCCCTCACCCCCTCACCCCCCTCACCCCCCTCACCCCCTCACCCCCCTCACCCACCTCACCCCCTCAGTCCCAGCCCGCGGCCCCAGCTCAGTGCAGTCCGGGGCCTGACAGGAGCAGCATGGATGACGTGTACAAAGCAGCGGTGAGTCTTTCTACACTTTTATACGAGCTGGGGACAGGTCAGAATGTACTCTAATATACTCTGTTATACTATGATATACTGTACTATACTGTGACATACTCTGTTATACTGTGTTATACTGTATTTAGTTCCGATGACACTGATGACTTTGAACACAGTCGTTCTGAGGTCTTCTGTCTATTATATTATATATGTATAATATACATCTGAAACACAGATGTATATTATACATATATAATGCAGATGTATATTATACATATATAATGCAGATGTATATTATACATATATAATGCAGATGTATATTATACATATGCAGATGTATATTATACATATATAATGCAGATGTATATTATACATATATAATGTAGATGTATATATTATACATATGTAGATGTATATTATACATATGTAGATGTATATTATACATATGCAGATGTATATTATACATATGTAGATGTATATTATACATATGCAGATGTATAGTATACATATGCAGATGTATAGTATACATATGTAGATGTATATTATACATATGCAGATGTATAGTATACATATTCAGATGTATAGTATACATATGCATATGCATAATATACATATGTAGATGTATATTATACATATGCATATGTATATTATACATATGCATATGTATAATATACATATGTAGATGTATATTATACATATGCATATGTATATTATACATATGCATATGTATAATATACATATGTAGATGTATATTATACATATGCAGATGTATATTTTTGGAGCAAATTCCACAGTTTCACTGAAGAAAAAGGTCAGAGTTAGAAACGTGCCACATCTGAAGGATGACATCATCGCTGCGACTGCATTACAGGCTATTGTTGATGTCCTTTTAATAGATCAGAGACACAGAGAGACAGGTGGACAGAGAGACAGAGAGAGACAGGTGGACAGAGAGACACAGAGAGACAGGTGGACAGAGAGACAGAGAGAGACAGAGAGACAGAGAGAGACAGGTGGACAGAGAGACAGAGAGAGACAGGTGGACAGAGAGAGAGAGACAGGTGGACAGAGAGACAGAGAGAGACAGAGAGACAGGTGGACAGAGAGACAGAGAGAGACAGGTGGACAGAGAGAGAGAGACAGGTGGACAGAGAGACAGAGAGAGACAGAGAGACAGGTGGACAGAGACACAGAGAGCCACAGCCACTGCCACAGCCACAGCCACAGCCACTGCCACAGCCACAGCCACTGCCACAGCCACTGCCACAGCCACAGCCACTGACACAGCCACTGCCACAGCCACAGCCACAGCCACTGCCACTGCCACAGCCACTGCCACAGCCGCAGCCACAGCCACAGCCACAGCCACAGCCACTGCCACAGCCACTGCCACAGCCACAGCCACTGCCACTGCCACAGCCACTGCCACAGCCGCAGCCACTGCCACAGCCACAGCCACTGCCACTGCCACAGCCACTGCCACAGCCACAGCCACAGCCACTGCCACAGCCACAGCCACTGCCACAGCCACTGCCACAGCCACAGCCACAGCCACAGCCACAGCCACTGCCACTGCCACAGCCACTGCCACAGCCACTGCCACAGCCACTGCCACAGCCACAGCCACAGCCACCGCCACAGCCACTGCCACTGCCACAGCCACAGCCACTGCCACAGCCACTGCCACAGCCACAGCCACAGCCACCGCCACAGCCACTGCCACTGCCACAGCCACTGCCACTGCCACAGCCACTGCCACAGCCACAGCCACCGCCACTGCCACAGCCACAGCCACAGCCACTGCCACAGCCACAGCCACAGCCACCGCCACCGCCACTGCCACAGCCACAGCCACAGCCACTGCCACAGCCACTGCCACAGCCACAGCCACAGCCACAGCCACTGCCACAGCCACAGCCACAGCCACAGCCACCGCCACAGCCACTGCCACTGCCACAGCCACTGCCACAGCCACTGCCACAGCCACAGCCACAGCCACCGCCACCGCCACTGCCACTGCCACAGCCACAGCCACAGCCACTGCCACAGCCACAGCCACAGCCACCGCCACTGCCACAGCCACAGCCACAGCCACTGCCACAGCCACTGCCACAGCCACAGCCACAGCCACAGCCACCGCCACTGCCACTGCCACAGCCACTGCCACAGCCACAGCCACAGCCACAGCCACTGCCACTGCCACAGCCACTGCCACAGCCACTGCCGCAGCCGCTGTCACCGCCACCGCCACCGCCACCGCCACCGCCACAGCCACTGCCACTGCCACAGCCACTGCCACAGCCACTGCCGCAGCCGCTGTCACTGCCACAGCCACTGCCACAACCACTGCCACAGCCACTGCCACAGCCACTGCCACTGCCACAGCCACTGCCACTGTCACTGCCACAGCCACTGCCACTGCCACTGCCACTGCCACAGCCACTGCCACTGCCACTGCCACAGCCACTGCCACTGCCAGCCACAGCCACTGCCACAACCACTGCCACAGCCACTGCCACAGCCACTGCCACCTGCCACAGCCACAGCCACTGCCACTGCCACAGCCACTGCCACAACCACTGCCACAGCCACTGCCACTGTCACTGCCACAGCCACTGCCACAGCCACTGCCACTGCCACAGCCACTGCCACAGCCACTGCCACAACCACTGCCACAGCCACTGCCACAGCCACTGCCACAGCCACTGCCACAGCCACAGCCACTGCCACAGCCACTGCCACAACCACTGCCACAGCCACTGCCACAGCCACTGCCACTGCCACAGCCACAGCCACAGCCACTGCCACAGCCACAGCCACAGCCACTGCCACAGCCACTGCCACTGCCACAGCCACTGCCACTGCCACTGCCACAGCCACTGCCACAGCCACAGCCACTGCCACAGCCACTGCCACAGCCACTGCCACTGCCACAGCCACTGCCACTGCCACTGCCACAGCCACTGCCACTGCCACTGCCACAACCACAGCCACTGCCACAGCCACTGCCACTGCCACAGCCACTGCCACTGCCACTGCCACAGCCACTGCCACAGCCACAGCCACTGCCACTGCCACAGCCACTGCCACTGCCACAGCCACTGCCACAGCCACTGCCGCAGCCGCTGTCACCGCCACCGCCACCGCCACAGCCACTGCCACTGCCACAGCCACTGCCACAGCCACTGCCGCAGCCGCTGTCACTGCCACAGCCACTGCCACAACCACTGCCACAGCCACTGCCACAGCCACTGCCACTGCCACAGCCACTGCCACTGTCACTGCCACAGCCACTGCCACTGCCACTGCCACTGCCACAGCCACTGCCACTGCCACTGCCACAGCCACTGCCACTGCCACTGCCACAGCCACAGCCACTGCCACAACCACTGCCACAGCCACTGCCACAGCCACTGCCACTGCCACAGCCACAGCCACTGCCAATGCCACAGCCACTGCCACAACCACTGCCACAGCCACTGCCACTGTCACTGCCACAGCCACTGCCACTGCCACTGCCACAGCCACAGCCACTGCCACAACCACTGCCACAGCCACTGCCACAGCCACTGCCACTGCCACAGCCACTGCCACAACCACAGCCACAGCCACTGCCACAGCCACAGCCACTGCCACTGCCACAGCCACTGCCACTGTCACTGCCACAGCCACTGCCACAACCACAGCCACAGCCACTGCCACAGCCACAGCCACTGCCACTGCCACAGCCACTGCCACAACCACTGCCACAGCCACTGCCACAGCCACTGCCACAACCACTGCCACAGCCACTGCCACAGCCACTGCCACAGCCACTGCCACAGCCACAGCCACTGCCACAGCCACTGCCACAACCACTGCCACAGCCACTGCCACAGCCACTGCCACTGCCACTGCCACAGCCACTGCCACAGCCACCGCCACAGCCACCGCCACCGCCACAGCCACTGCCACTGCCACAGCCACTGCCACTGCCACAGCCACTGCCACAGCCACCGCCACAGCCACTGCCACCGCCACCAGCCACTGCCACTGCCACTGCCACAGCCACAGCCACTGCCACTGCCACTGCTACAGCCACAGCCACCGCCACAGCCACTGCCACTGCCACAGCCACTGCCACTGCCACAGCCACTGCCACAGCCACTGCCACAGCCACAGCCACTGCCACAGCCACAGCCACCGCCACAGCCACTGCCACTGCCACAGCCACTGCCACTGCCACAGCCACTGCCACAGCCACAGCCACTGCCACTGCCACAGCCACTGCCACTGCCACAGCCACTGCCACAGCCACTGCCACAGCCACAGCCACTGCCACTGCCACAGCCACTGCCACTGCCACAGCCACTGCCACAGCCACTGCCACCGCCACAGCCACTGCCACTGCCACAGCCACTGCCACAGCCACAGCCACTGCCACAGCCACTGCCACAGCCACTGCCACAACCACTGCCACAGCCACTGCCACAGCCACTGCCACTGCCACAGCCACAGCCACTGCCACTGCCACAGCCACTGCCACAACCACTGCCACAGCCACTGCCACTGTCACTGCCACAGCCACTGCCACTGCCACTGCCACAGCCACAGCCACTGCCACAACCACTGCCACAGCCACTGCCACAGCCACTGCCACTGCCACAGCCACTGCCACAACCACAGCCACAGCCACTGCCACAGCCACAGCCACTGCCACTGCCACAGCCACTGCCACTGTCACTGCCACAGCCACTGCCACAACCACAGCCACAGCCACTGCCACAGCCACAGCCACTGCCACTGCCACAGCCACTGCCACAACCACTGCCACAGCCACTGCCACAGCCACTGCCACAACCACTGCCACAGCCACTGCCACAGCCACTGCCACAGCCACTGCCACAGCCACAGCCACTGCCACAGCCACTGCCACAACCACTGCCACAGCCACTGCCACAGCCACTGCCACTGCCACAGCCACTGCCACAGCCACCGCCACAGCCACCGCCACCGCCACAGCCACTGCCACTGCCACAGCCACTGCCACTGCCACAGCCACTGCCACAGCCACCGCCACAGCCACTGCCACCGCCACAGCCACTGCCACTGCCACTGCCACAGCCACAGCCACTGCCACTGCCACTGCTACAGCCACAGCCACCGCCACAGCCACTGCCACTGCCACAGCCACTGCCACTGCCACAGCCACTGCCACAGCCACTGCCACAGCCACAGCCACTGCCACAGCCACAGCCACCGCCACAGCCACTGCCACTGCCACAGCCACTGCCACTGCCACAGCCACTGCCACAGCCACAGCCACTGCCACTGCCACAGCCACTGCCACTGCCACAGCCACTGCCACAGCCACTGCCACAGCCACAGCCACTGCCACTGCCACAGCCACTGCCACTGCCACAGCCACTGCCACAGCCACTGCCACCGCCACAGCCACTGCCACTGCCACAGCCACTGCCACAGCCACAGCCACTGCCACAGCCACTGCCACAGCCACTGCCACAGCCACAGCCACAGCCACAGCCACTGCCACAGCCACTGCCACAGCCACTGCCACAGCCACAGCCACAGCCACTGCCACAGCCACTGCCACAGCCACAGCCACTGCCACTGCCACAGCCACTGCCACAGCCACAGCCACAGCCACTGCCACAGCCACTGCCACAGCCACTGCCGCAGCCGCTGTCACTGCCACAGCCACTGCCACAACCACTGCCACAGCCACAGCCACAGCCACTGCCACAGCCACAGCCACTGCCACAGCCACTGCCACAGCCACTGCCACAGCCACTGCCACCGCCACAGCCACTGCCACTGCCACAGCCACTGCCACAGCCACAGCCACTGCCACAGCCACTGCCACAGCCACTGCCACAGCCACAGCCACAGCCACAGCCACAGCCACTGCCACAGCCACTGCCACTGCCACAGCCACAGCCACTGCCACAGCCACTGCCACAGCCACAGCCACAGCCACTGCCACAGCCACTGCCACAGCCACAGCCACAGCCACCGCCACCGCCACTGCCACAGCCACAGCCACAGCCACTGCCACAGCCACAGCCACAGCCACAGCCACCGCCACTGCCACTGCCACAGCCACTGCCACAGCCACAGCCACAGCCACAGCCACCGCCACTGCCACTGCCACAGCCACTGCCACAGCCACTGCCACAGCCACTGCCGCAGCCGCTGTCACCGCCACCGCCACCGCCACCGCCACAGCCACTGCCACTGCCACAGCCACTGCCACAGCCACTGCCGCAGCCGCTGTCACTGCCACAGCCACTGCCACAACCACTGCCACAGCCACTGCCACAGCCACTGCCACTGCCACAGCCACTGCCACTGTCACTGCCACAGCCACTGCCACTGCCACTGCCACTGCCACAGCCACTGCCACTGCCACTGCCACAGCCACTGCCACTGCCACTGCCACAGCCACAGCCACTGCCACAACCACTGCCACAGCCACTGCCACAGCCACTGCCACTGCCACAGCCACAGCCACTGCCACTGCCACAGCCACTGCCACAACCACTGCCACAGCCACTGCCACTGTCACTGCCACAGCCACTGCCACTGCCACTGCCACAGCCACAGCCACTGCCACAACCACTGCCACAGCCACTGCCACAGCCACTGCCACTGCCACAGCCACTGCCACAACCACAGCCACAGCCACTGCCACAGCCACAGCCACTGCCACTGCCACAGCCACTGCCACTGTCACTGCCACAGCCACTGCCACAACCACAGCCACAGCCACTGCCACAGCCACAGCCACTGCCACTGCCACAGCCACTGCCACAACCACTGCCACAGCCACAGCCACAGCCACTGCCACAGCCACAGCCACTGCCACAGCCACTGCCACAGCCACTGCCACAGCCACTGCCACCGCCACTGCCACTGCCACAGCCACTGCCACAGCCACAGCCACTGCCACAGCCACTGCCACAGCCACTGCCACAGCCACTGCCACTGTCACTGCCACAGCCACTGCCACTGTCACTGCCACAGCCACTGCCACTGCCACTGCCACAGCCACAGCCACTGCCACAACCACTGCCACAGCCACTGCCACAGCCACTGCCACTGCCACAGCCACTGCCACAACCACAGCCACAGCCACTGCCACAGCCACAGCCACTGCCACTGCCACAGCCACTGCCACTGTCACTGCCACAGCCACTGCCACAACCACAGCCACAGCCACTGCCACAGCCACTGCCACAACCACTGCCACAGCCACAGCCACAGCCACTGCCACAGCCACAGCCACTGCCACAGCCACTGCCACAGCCACTGCCACAGCCACTGCCACCGCCACAGCCACTGCCACTGCCACAGCCACTGCCACAGCCACAGCCACTGCCACAGCCACTGCCACAGCCACTGCCACAGCCACAGCCACAGCCACAGCCACAGCCACTGCCACAGCCACTGCTACTGCCACAGCCACAGCCACTGCCACAGCCACTGCCACAGCCACAGCCACAGCCACTGCCACAGCCACTGCCACAGCCACAGCCACAGCCACTGCCACAGCCACTGCCACAGCCACAGCCACCGCCACAGCCACTGCCACTGCCGCAGCCGCTGTCACCGCCACCGCCACCGCCACCGCCACAGCCACTGCCACTGCCACAGCCACTGCCACAGCCACTGCCACAACCACTGCCACTGCCACAGCCACTGCCACTGCCACAGCCACTGTCACTGCCACAGCCACTGCCACTGCCACAGCCACTGCCACTGCCACTGCCACAGCCACTGCCACTGCCACTGCCACAGCCACAGCCACTGCCACAACCACTGCCACAGCCACTGCCACAGCCACTGCCACTGCCACAGCCACAGCCACTGCCACTGCCACTGCCACAGCCACTGCCACAACCACTGCCACAGCCACTGCCACTGTCACTGCCACAGCCACTGCCACTGCCACAGCCACAGCCACTGCCACAACCACTGCCACAGCCACTGCCACAGCCACTGCCACTGCCACAGCCACTGCCACAACCACAGCCACAGCCACTGCCACAGCCACAGCCACTGCCACTGCCACAGCCACTGCCACTGTCACTGCCACAGCCACTGCCACAACCACAGCCACAGCCACTGCCACAGCCACAGCCACTGCCACTGCCACAGCCACAACCACTGCCACAACCACTGCCACAGCCACTGCCACAGCCACTGCCACAGCCACTGCCACAGCCACTGCCACAGCCACAGCCACTGCCACAGCCACTGCCACAACCACTGCCACAGCCACTGCCACAGCCACTGCCACTGCCACAGCCACAGCCACAGCCACTGCCACAGCCACAGCCACAGCCACTGCCACAGCCACTGCCACTGCCACAGCCACTGCCACTGCCACAGCCACTGCCACAGCCACAGCCACTGCCACTGCCACAACCACTGCCACAGCCACAGCCACTGCCACAGCCACTGCCACAACCACTGCCACAGCCACTGCCACTGCCACAGCCACAGCCACAGCCACTGCCACAGCCACAGCCACAGCCACTGCCACAGCCACTGCCACTGCCACAGCCACTGCCACTGCCACAGCCACTGCCACAGCCACAGCCACAGCCACTGCCACAGCCACTGCCACAGCCACTGCCACAGCCACAGCCACTGCCACAGCCACTGCCACTGCCACTGCCACAGTCAGATACGCCTGCAGACAACAGGAAATATACTTATGGCCACAAGAGGGCAGCAGTGACAGGGCCATGACAACAGACGACAGCTGAAGTCATAAAGAGGACAGAAGGAGGAAGAGTACAGGACAGTAGTGTTACCATACTCCTCCAGCAGGGGCTCCATAGAGGACAGTACTGTTACCATACTCCTCCAGCAGGGGCTCCATAGAGGACAGTACTGTTACTATACTCCTCCAGCAGGGGCTCCATAGAGGACAGTACTGTTACCATACTCCTCCAGCAGGGGGCTCATATCCTCTGTCCACAGTCTCATGTCCTCTGTCCACAGTCTCATGTCCTCTTCTGTCCACAGTCTCATGTCCTCTGTCCACAGTCTCATGTCATCTTCTGTCCACAGTCTCATGTCCTCTTCTGTCCACAGTCTCATGTCCTCTTCTGTCCACAGTCTCATGTCCTCTTCTGTCCACAGACTCATGTCCTCTTCTGTCCACAGTCTCATGTCCTCTGTCCACAGTCTCATGTCCTCTTCTGTCCACAGTCTCATGTCCTCTGTCCACAGTCTCATGTCCTCTTCTGTCCACAGTCTCATGTCCTCTTCTGTCCACAGTCTCATGTCCTCTTCTGTCCACAGTCTCATGTCCTCTTCTGTCCACAGACTCATGTCCTCTTCTGTCCACAGTCTCATGTCCTCTTCTGTCCACAGTCTCATGTCCTCTGTCCACAGTCTCATGTCCTCTTCTGTCCACAGTCTCATGTCCTCTGTCCACAGACTCATGTCCTCTGTCCACAGTCTCATGTCCTCTGTCCACAGACTCATGTCCTCTTCTGTCCACAGTCTCATGTCCTCTTCTGTCCACAGTCTCATGTCCTCTTCTGTCCACAGTCTCATGTCCTCTGTCCACAGTCTCATGTCCTCTTCTGTCCACAGTCTCATGTCCTCTTCTGTCCACAGTCTCATGTCCTCTTCTGTCCACAGTCTCATGTCCTCTGTCCACAGTCTCATGTCTTCTTCCACAGTCTCATGTCCTCTTCTGTCCACAGTCTCATGTCCTCTGTCCACAGACTCATGTCCTCTGTCCACAGTCTCATGTCCTCTTCTGTCCACAGTCTCATGTCCTCTGTCCACAGTCTCATGTCCTCTTCTGTCCACAGTCTCATGTCCTCTGTCCACAGTCTCATGTCCTCTTCTGTCCACAGTCTCATGTCCTCTTCTGTCCACAGTCGCATGTCCTCTTCTGTCCACAGTCTCATGTCCTCTTCTGTCCACAGTCTCATGTCCTCTTCTGTCCACAGTCTCATGTCCTCTGTCCACAGTCTCATGTCCTCTTCTGTCCACAGTCTCATGTCCTCTGTCCACAGACTCATGTCCTCTTCTGTCCACAGTCTCATGTCCTCTTCTGTCCACAGTCTCATGTCCTCTTCTGTCCACAGTCTCATGTCCTCTGTCCACAGTCTCATGTCTTCTTCCACAGTCTCATGTCCTCTTCTGTCCACAGTCTCATGTCCTCTGTCCACAGACTCATGTCCTCTGTCCACAGTCTCATGTCCTCTTCTGTCCACAGTCTCATGTCCTCTGTCCACAGACTCATGTCCTCTGTCCACAGTCTCATGTCCTCTTCTGTCCACAGACTCATGTCCTCTTCTGTCCACAGTCTCATGTCCTCTTCTGTCCACAGTCTCATGTCCTCTTCTGTCCACAGTCTCATGTCCTCTGTCCACAGTCTCATGTCCTCTTCTGTCCACAGTCTCATGTCCTCTTCTGTCCACAGTCTCATGTCCTCTTCTGTCCACAGTCTCATGTCCTCTGTCCACAGTCTCATGTCCTCTTCTGTCCACAGTCTCATGTCCTCTTCTGTCCACAGTCTCATGTCCTCTTCTGTCCACAGTCTCATGTCCTCTGTCCACAGTCTCATGTCCTCTTCTGTCCACAGTCTCATGTCCTCTTCTGTCCACAGTCTCATGTCCTCTTCTGTCCACAGTCTCATGTCCTCTTCTGTCCACAGGTGGAGAACCTCACGGAGGAGCAGAAAAATGGTGAGTGTTTTGTGTGTAACTCTCTGAACAGTTTTTTTAGATTATCATAATCTGCAGTTAGCCCCTCCCACCTGTTAGCCCCTCCCACCTGTTAGCCCCTCCCAGCTGTTAGCCCCTCCCAGCTGTTAGCCCCTCCCACCTGTTAGCCCCTCCCAGCTGTTAGCCCCTCCCACCTGTTAGCCCCTCCCACCTGTTAGCCACTCCCACCTGTTAGCCACTCCCACCTGTTAGCCCCTCCCAGCTGTTAGCCCCTCCCACCTGTTAGCCCCTCCCACCTGTTAGCCACTCCCACCTGTTAGCCACTCCCACCTGTTAGCCCCTCCCAGCTGTTAGCCCCTCCCACCTGTTAGCCCCTCCCACCTGTTAGCCACTCCCACCTGTTAGCCCCTCCCACCTGTTAGCCACTCCCACCTGTTAGCCACTCCCAGCTGTTAGCCCCTCCCAGCTGTTAGCCCCTCCCACCTGTTAGCCCCTCCCAGCTGTTAGCCCCTCCCACCTGTTAGCCCCTCCCACCTGTTAGCCACTCCCACCTGTTAGCCACTCCCACCTGTTAGCCCCTCCCAGCTGTTAGCCCCTCCCACCTGTTAGCCCCTCCCACCTGTTAGCCACTCCCACCTGTTAGCCACTCCCACCTGTTAGCCCCTCCCAGCTGTTAGCCCCTCCCACCTGTTAGCCCCTCCCACCTGTTAGCCACTCCCACCTGTTAGCCACTCCCACCTGTTAGCCCCTCCCACCTGTTAGCCACTCCCACCTGTTAGGCGATGGAGAAAATCCAGACCTTTGTACAAATGAAATGAGTACCATGGTGCGGTAAGACCAGGGTCTATTTACAACAAAGGCCTTTGTTGTAAATAAATAAATGTGTTTCCAGAGTTCAAAGCGGCCTTCGACATCTTCATCCAGGACGCGGAGGACGGCTGCATCAGCACCAAAGAACTGGGGAAGGTGATGCGGATGCTCGGCCAGAACCCCACCCCCGAAGAACTGCAGGAGATGATCGACGAGGTGGACGAGGACGGTGAGGAGGGCCCGGTTCTGAGGGCCTGGTTCTGAGGGCCCGCTTCTGAGGGCCCGCTTCTGAGGGCCTGGTTCTGAAGGCCTGGTTCTGAGGGCCTGGTTCTGAGGGCCTGGTTCTGAGGGGCTGGTTCTGAGGGCCCGCTTCTGAGGGCCCGCTTCTGAGGGCCCGCTTCTGAGGGCCTGGTTCTGAAGGCCTGGTTCTGAGGGCCTGGTTCTGAGGGCCTGGTTCTGAGGGCCTGGTTCTGAGGGCCCGCTTCTGAGGGCCTGGTTCTGAGGGCCCGCTTCTGAGGGCCTGGTTCTGAGGGCCTGGTTCTGAGGGCCCGCTTCTGAGGGCCCGCTTCTGAGGGCCTGGTTCTGAAGGCCTGGTTCTGAGGGCCTGGTTCTGAGGGCCTGGTTTTGAGGGCCTGGTTCTGAGGGCCCGCTTCTGAGGGCCTGGTTCTGAGGGCCCGCTTCTGAGGGCCTGGTTCTGAGGGCCTGGTTCTGAAGGCCTGGTTCTGAGGGCCTGGTTCTGAGGGCCCGCTTCTGACTCTGCCTTTAGGACTTAGAGTTACACACAGTACTTCACATATCCACAGTGTTTATTATTAAAGTAACTTGTTTGAATCGATGAGATCAGAAAAAGTAAAACTTCTGGAAATGAAAACTTTAAAACGTTTTTATTAAAATCAACAGAAACATTTGAAGAACTTTAAAGAACTTTAAAACTGTAAATGAGGAAAATATGATATTTAAAAATACTTTGAATATTGACCAAATATAATGACATTGAAAAAATATTAGTCAGCTCCAAATATTCACTTAATATATATTGTTATTATTATATTTTATTATATTTTATTGTGTTATATTTGATTATATCAGTATTATATTAGTTTTACACTGGTATGACCTTTGCATTAGCAGCAGATGTTAGCATTAGCAGCAGATGTTTGTGTCCTCAGACTCTGAGGCGTTAGCTTGGCTATGCTAGCACACAGGGCCTCGACCCTTTACACTTGTTTACACGGAACATTTAAAACGTCTAAGTAAAGAACCTTTAACAACAGCTGGACCTGCACTGCCCCCTGGTGGACACAACAGCAGCGGCACGGTGGCTGAGTGGATAGCACTCTCGCCTCTCAGCAAGAAGGTCCTGGGTTCAAATCCCGGTTTGCATGTTCTCCCCGTGTCTGCGTAGGTTTCCTCCGGGTGCTCCGGTTTCCCCTACCACTAAAAATATGTCCAATAGTTCTGACATGTGCCTCCTGTACTGGCGACCCCCGCTCCCAAAAAATAAAAAATAACAATTGTAAACCGCTTTGAGACTCAGTGCAGTGAAAAGGCGGTATATAAATAAAGATTACTTACTTACTCTTCTTATACACAGCTGTGTGCTGTTCACATTTGTTTGGTTTTTTTAATGAATTTATTTCTTCAAAAGTGCAGGTATACAACATGCATACTGTAGTCAATAATTCCCTTGACTGGACGTGTACAAAGTTGATGCAAGAGTAAGACAAAGATCTCCAAGTTTAACATCTGCATTTAATTATCTTTACAATCAGATACAGAATATTCAACAAAAAGTGCTCCTAAAACTAATATGTCCCTCTCCTCTTCCCCTGCGCTAACCTCCCCCCAGAACTCAAACCAACAGTTTTATCAAGACGTCTGATGACGTCACTTGTGGGCGTCTCCCGAATGTTCTTTTCGGGTGTGCTGGCGTCCCGTGTCCACTGGGAGGCGTCAGAATGCCTTTGGAGAATCTCCCAGTCTGCCTGAGAGAGATTAGCCAGATGGTGTTTTGGACTTTTGGCCTCGCCAGAGAGACAAGAATGTTTATTCCTGGAGTTAATAATTTGTCCCGTTTTGAAAGTTGGTATCTCTATGACTGATTGTAGTTTCTCCATTTGACCCTCTTTATTCCTGTTTGCAATCCTTGTCCTTGGGGTTTTTCCCCGTGCACATTCTTCAGAGGGCCTATTTTCAAAATCATTAGTATACAACATTTTAATTATGCAACAGTTTCCCTCTTTTGACCTGATTAAAAATTAGGTCACAATCCACATCGTCGTTCATCATCAATACTTGTGCTTAGTTCAGGCTTGATATCTGTGAAGAGCCAATACAGAAAGACAAACAACACACAACCACATTGAAACATTCCTTCACTAAACTCTTTGATGACCACTGCTGTCATTCTGATTCTTCTTCAACCTCGTCTGTAATGTATGCACTAAAACTATTCACTATAGTTTAAACTATTCTAATCTATTTACAAATATGTTTGCTTATTTTGCTTTTATTGAGCCATATTCTTAAACATATGTTTTTATCTAATAAATCTATCTATACTGTGGTTTGCTGTCATTATCAGTGGCTTTGGGCCATTTCGTGGGGCTTTGCTCATTTTTCCAAACACATTTTGTTGAACCAGGAAGTGCTGTCACTTCCTTCTCTCAGACCGTTTGGGATAAATGTACATCGTTAATCAAATTGGTATTATCCGTACAGGAGCTAATCTATTTTAGCAGGTTTTTGGGGTCAGTTACTCTACCATGGTATTCGATTTTCTAATCCATATTGACAAGTCGACAGCTCTTAAAATTCTCAAAACTACCTAAAGATCTACTTTTGTGCTATACCCAAATACATTAAAATGCTTTCAAATGTTTCTGAATCTGTGTTGGTTCTAATCGATCTCATTAATCTATCTCATTAGCTTTTTGCATTGTCAACATTCACCCATGTTTGAAACAAGTGAATTTGACAGTATCTAATAAAACTGTGCATAAACTGTAATGAACTTTATCTACCTTTGAAGTAAATACTTTTAGACATAATATGAAGGAAATGGTCCTTTTACCGTTTGATATTAGCCTTGGCTAAAAATAATCTCTATTTTTGAAAGCATCTATGGTTGATGCATTTATCTATTCCTATTTTTACTCTATTGTGACTCTAAAGCTCGGTTGCAGCTTGAGCAAAGGCATATTCCCAATTTTTGAGTTCTGATTGTAACAATAGCATTGGCAATAGACGATTTTTCATTGGCTGGTTCTTGTTCTGCAAATCATTATTCTATGTATTGTATTTCAGACAATTCCAAAAACAACACAGTCGTTCTCCAATATTAAAGACATACATCTAAATCAAGTTGCCTGAAAGGGATTTTAACTATTTTAAAACGTTCTCTACGATTATAAGGCTATGAAATTAATTATTTAATAAACAAAAGCACATTCATGGCTTCTGTCCGCTGCTTATAACTGTTTAAAGAGTTGTCCCAAACTTAATGTGTGTAAATACATCAGCTGTTTGTAATAAACAATAACATTTAACCTGTTCTCCAATGGAGCAGCTCAGAGGCTGCGTCAAGAGCAATGTTATATTTGAGCTATTTTTAGATTTAAAATTGTGTTAAAGCCTGTCGTTCTATGTCTGCATTTTAATACTACTCTCTATAAACACATCTGCACTAGTTCCTACAGATGTGGAAAACAGAAACATCTAAAATCTGACTCCATTTGATTCCTTTTTACTTTAGTTATTAGAATAATTTGACATTATTGATACTTATTTTCACAATAGAACTATTTTGATTATTCACTAGTCTAACTATTATTACTATTGTTTATTCTGACACTTCAACCTATAGCTCCTCGAATCCAATGACATTATAGCTCCAGACTATTTCATTCTATTCTATTATTGTATGATCTATTATCTTAAAGAGTAGATCTGTTTGATGTTATAAGCGCTATTATTTCTCCTTTTAAATTTGCACAACACTAAATTTAGAATGACCCCCTATGGGACAAATATAGAATTTTATTTCATTTTGGCAACTCCGAAAATTACTTAATAATTTTCCCATTTTGCTTTTTTAGGCTGCCCTTTCTATTATTTATTTGTTCTTGTAAATATATGTTTTACACTTCTTTCTAATGATTTAGAAGGTTAAGGACCATGACCACCTATGACAATACAATACTCCCCTCTGTTGGTCGTGGTCCAAAGTATAAAACATGCATCTGTGTGTGTGTAGATTACTGTTCCAATCCTGTTGCTCCTCCCGGATCGTCCTCAATTCATATTGTGGGCTTTGGTGCCAAAGTAGAGGCTCATTTCCTTAATTCATACTACTGTCATCCCTGAAGCAGGTGCAGTTTATCTTTCATCTGAAAAACAAACATTAGAACACAAGAAACGCCCACTTCCCTCTCTTCGCATGGTGCGGCCTGTCAATCAATCCAATTGGGCAAAACATAACTGCATTGACAGACGGTGTGTGACATCAGGGCAGAGGCTGTAGCCAAATACAGACTTAACAAAATGTATGTTTCTAATTTTATACTCCCCTAAATGTGAGTTACAAACCAAAGTTGTCCTCCGCCCAATGACCGCTCACTGCGGTTGGACCGAATCACTGTCAGGACAAACAGCAGAGGGGGGGCTCCCAGTACCTTCAGCAAGGTATTTCATCTCAGAGTACTTTCTCAGAGTACTTTTCTCAGAGTACTCATCCCAGAGTACTCTCACTTTTACACCTGTTCAATAAAGCTTGTCATCTTTGAATCTCTAGTACTTACACCGTATGCTGTTGACAAAAAATAATTATTCCATGATCACATTAAAACATTACAGAAAACTTTTGTTATTCCATGATTCCGTTCAGCATTCCTCAGTTCACTCCACAACACACTCACAACACACTCACAACACCCCACGTTAGTATTGGTCCAGTTTGTTAAGGTCAACGTAGTGTATTGGACATGACGCACAAACATATAACATACACAAACATATAACATACACAAACATATAACATACACAAACATATAACATACACAAACATATAACATACACAAACATATAACATACACAAACATATAGACAACACAAGAGGCCTGTAATTTTAACTTTGTTATATTTTTCCATGTCCAATTACAATTGTCTCATGAGCTATTTTATAGTTGCAACTTTCAGAGCCTGCAGAACATGCAGAGCTTTAAGAGATTT